ACAGCCTGTGGTCAGCCCTAGTCAGCTTTCCTGAGCTGCTTTGCATTCTAGCCCAGCTTGCTGCAGTTCCTGTTGGCTCTTTGGACCTTCGTTGCCTCCTCAAAAGAGCTTTGGCTGGGGAGAAGACTCTGGGGCTTGGGCTGCTGCCTAAGATATTTAAGGTGGCTTCTTTTCCTTGCTTTCCAGGGAGCAATAAGGCCATGGAAGCTGCATCCAGTGCATATTACAACCCTGCCAACCCACACAATGTGTACATGCCCATGGTGAGTACCACACCTGGTCAGTCACTAGCAGGGACAGGGGTTTGTTCAACCTTCATGTTGAACATGGACAGAAAGTTTGCATTTTTCTGGGAGGGAGGCATGGATGTTGGTCCTATGAAGAAGGCTTGGAGGAGGATAGGAAGAGGGCCTTAAGATTGATCCAGTAACAGCCATTTGTTACCTGTCTTACTCCTGAAGGCATAACAGACTCGCATGTCCAGAGAGCATGTGGAGCTCTCTGCTTCTTTTGGTACTGACAGTGGGGAGAGATACAGAAAAACAGGTCACTGAAGGATGCAAGCACATGGGCTTCTCTTTCAGTTTTTTCTGGGCTGCGTGGAGACAGGGAGGCCTCTCACTGTTCAGTCAGTGGCAGCTGTTAGGGCGGCTTAGCCTACAGCTGGTTTGTGATAGGCAGTCTGTCAGTGCCCTTCACTGCCTCACATGGCTCTTGCAGGCTGGAGACTGATGGAGCAGCAAAGCTGGCCCTCAGCCCAGGGGCTTCCTGTCTGCTGGGTCGGAGCTATAAGATTCAACAGGGACAAAGCCCTGGAAGGGAAGGGAGGATGGCAATTTCAACAGATTAAACAGTCCATTTGCAATAGACCATTTGTTACCTGGTTCTGAGGGGACCTTCCCTAGAAACATCGAGTGAGACAGCATGTATCATGGAGCATAACTGACACCAGAGAGGAATGGTGTGATGAAATGACAGCTTAAACCATAGCACCTGCTCTGCTTTGTAGCTCACTGCAGAGCAGTCATTTCTTGTGAGACAAGCCTGGAAAGAGCTCGTCATAAAACAAGCATGATTGTTGACTCTACTGTATCTCCTTCCAGGATCAGCCACCTCCTTATACACCTCTGGAGGATAAGAAGAACAACTAACAGAAGGAAATTGCAACCAGCCTCCCAAATTCTCGCTCCCTGAAGACAACTTGGCTGTTAATACCCCTTGAGTTAGCATATCTCTAGATCTCTGTTTCTCTACAATAGATGTAGTGCTGGGCAGCTGAGCACCTGCCCTCCTTAAACATTAGGTCAGTGGCAATACAAGGCAGAACAACAGCACTTTCCTGCTTATTTTCTTTATCTCGTGGGGTCGAAGAACTAACCTTTTGCTCTGCCATTGGCTTGAGGAGAGAGATGGACTTCTTATTAAGCCACCAGTATATCACATGACTAATCTAGGACTAAAATGTGAAACCTCTGGGATCTTGGAGTAAAACAACTTGGAATGACAAACGTTTGACTTCTGAAGCACCAACCGAGAGGAAAGGTATAGAGAGCCATGAGGTTGCTTGCATAGATCCTTGGGTGCCCCAGAAAGGTGTTAAATTTCCTTAAATTCTAGCACAATTCAGCATGAGATGGTACTCTGGAAATCCTGTATCATGCTGGAAGCATTTGTTTCATGTCCTGGACTAAGAGTCATGGGGTGTTAACCTTGGGAGGTGCATTCTAAGAGACACTTAAGCATTTGGCTATGCAAGAGGGCAGGGGATGGGCCCCAGTCAGCCTCCCTTTGTAGCCACTGGATAGCAGAGCAAACAAAAGGTGTGCCCCAGGGCAGTGAGCTGATAGACTGGCAGGCATGCAGATCAGTCTTCCAATCCCTCTCCTAGAAGCAGGCCCTGTACCTGTGCAATGTCAGGCAGCCACTCTTCAAGCCTAGTGGAGTCAAGTGCTGCACAGGAGGCTGCCTGCCTTGGAGCAAAATACACTAGGAAGTGGACTTGGCGCTCACCTTGTCAGGAGGCAGGTCCTGGCTCCCTGTGCTGAGCAAGCTTGCACTGTGCTACCTCCATAGGGGAAAACTGACCTTCATCCTTTCCTTCAGCCGCTGCAGCCGGGTGGTGTGTGCCCACATCTGAGCAGTGTGGGCAGGTGGGCACAGTAGTCCCAGAGTTGGGTTTCTTAGGGGTGCAGTGTCCTCTCAGCTGGGAACCACTGTCTGGGGTGGGTGTTACTAACACTCAGTTCTCTTGCAGAGACTCTTGACTGCTCAGCCACAACTCTTCCTTTTTCCTTAGGAGATAGGGCCATTAAACCTGCTCTGAAAAGAATCTCTACTCTGGTGAGACCTTTGTGATCCTTTACATGTGGGGTGATTGTACTTCTTCCTGCAGCCCCCCTACCTCCACAGTGAGGGGGAAGGAGTGTTTTCCCTCTTACTTACCAGGGCTCTCCTGTGAGTCAGGCTTGCACAACTTAAAAGTGTGAATTTCTAAAGCAGTTCCACATGGGGGGAAGTAAATTTCCTTATCTATAAACACTTCTTAGGTCTGAGTTAGAGATACTCTAATAACTCTGTATTTTAAAAAATCAACCATGAATGTTTGTAACTTTTTGAATTGCACTTTAATACAGGAGTGTTGATACCTTGAGCGGCTTGTTCACTGTTTTGTGTGTGTATTGACCTTAATTCCTTCATACTGCACAGAAGGTTGGAATGAACTACAACCACTGGTGTTCTCTCTGGTCACCTGTGGGCCAGTCCTTCTCCCTCCCTGGCATGTGGCTAAACTGGATCTGGAATCAAGTAACGGGTGGAAGAGAAGAAGGTGGGGCTCATCTCCCCTTGCTGCCTGGGAAGGGTGGAAGGCTGGTTGGTGCCTGTGCTGTTGCCCAGGTATCCAGAACTGGCACATGGTTCATGTCCTCGGGGCAAGCACAACACTACATTTAGCAGGGCCTGTCACCACCCTGCTACTCACTACAGCTGTATTTGTAGCACCTCTTTGATGTCCATTTACTGCCAGAGGGAAGGCCTGTCTTTAAGAGAAACTCCTCACTAGCCATTTTTTTCCAGTGAGGGAAAAATAAATATATGATAAAGGAAAATGGCACTTAATCGTGGACTGTAAGATCTTTATACCCTTGATTTAGCAGGGCCTGTCACCACCCTGCTACTCACTACAGCTGTATTTGTAGCACCTCTTTGATGTCCATTTACTGCCAGAGGGAAGGCCTGTCTTTAAGAGAAACTCCTCACTAGCCATTTTTTTCCAGTGAGGGAAAAATAAATATATGATAAAGGAAAATGGCACTTAATCGTGGACTGTAAGATCTTTATACCCTTGTGCCATGCCACTGCCTTGAACATGATATAACTTCTACTGCAAAGCTATTTCCTGCTTCATCAGTCCGGTCTCTGAAAGGAAACCAGTTCTATTACTTAGCATAGTTGTTCCTGTTTTGAGGTCATGGCCCTGTAATCCTATATTAACCAAGCAGCTATAACTAGCAACACTAAACAAATGAGACAGGCTGTGATCTGCTTCTTTATTTCAATTGATTTGCCGCAATCACCCCCAAGAACAAAGCCAGCTCCTGTATACAAACATGAAGTGCATTTGTTCTCCCTGATTAAGCACTGCCAGCATCGTGATCAGCATCTTGCTGCTGCACTCAGAGAAAGTTTCAGAAGTGGCCAGAATCACCCACTTGGTCTTGCAGGAACCAGAGTGGCTGGATGACCAGGAACACTCCAGCAGCTGAACAGAGAGAACTTGCAGGGTTTTGCATAAAATGTGGTATTTCCCCAGTCTGAGGCTTTATCTTGTGTCAGTCTCCCTGGGCTGCAACCTTCACAAATGCTGCACCCCTCGCTGGGGCAGATGGCCGTGTCTCACCTAAAACTCCTCAGTAGGATGTGTGCTGTACAAAGGTGAAGCAGCTGGGGACTTCGGAGTCTGTCCTGCCACCCACTTCCAGTTTATTAGTGCAGGCTCCTCCTCAGGATGGAGCTGTGGATGTAGCTGCCCTTGGGAGAACGAGGAGCCTTTCCCTGAGAAACCCTGAGTGTTCAGCAAGCTGGAGGAGGACCGGACCCTCCTTTTAGCAACAATTTCCTGCTAGATCAACAACAGGATGCAACTTGCAGCTTGGAGGCACCTGTGACCATCTCCCAGCCCAAAACACCACCTCAACTGAGCACTGGCATCTTCCCAACACCACTCCTACACAACATGCTATGGCTCTGCAGGTCTTGGTTCTGTACCACAGCACAGCTGCTGGAGTTGTGCATGGCCCTTGGAGGTTTTTGCTCTGCTCTGCTGTAAACTGCTACCAGAGGGGCTTTAAGATAGTGCTAGCAAGCATGCTAGGCTGTAGCAGTGCTGCCTTCCAGAATCCTGGCAGCAGGATCAGACCTGCAAGCCTCTCTACACAGGACCATCCTGCCTCCAGCTCTCGGTCCTGGTGGGGAGTACATGGGAGGGATGCAGCCCTATTGACAGCCCCTTATTCCGAGCCAAGCTGATTATAGCAAAAGAAAGAAGGTGACCAGGTCTGATCCTTAACGCCATTACACATTTTGGGAGAAAGGGAGGAGACAGGGAAAGGGAGTGTCACAACCCTAGAAGATACTAAAGCATCCAAAGCCTTTCAAACAGTCCCTGCAGCTGTCAGTGGTACCCAGCTCAGCAGTGAAGGTCTCAGGTGTCCAAGCTGACTGGCTGTGGCTGGACTTGGCTTGTACAGCATCTTCCACAGGGGAATCTTGAAGGGATTTGCAATCACCAGGGAATTATACTCTGCACACCCTTAGGAGGTCGGCAACAAGAATTCCTGATTTACGCAGACAGAGCAGACATCCAGCAGGTACCAAGGAATGTTCACTCCCCAGCACTGCTGAACACCCCAGCAAAAGGCACTTGCACAGTGAAGAGCCATGTGTCCCAGGGTCTGGCAGCTCACCCTGGCACTGGCCCACACCCCATCCACTGCACCTCCTCACAGGACTGGGTGGAAACCCTCACCAAGGCCTTGCTGTCTGGCATGCAAAGGTTGTACTGGGAGTAGCGTGGGACGGAGGTACCACATCACCACCCCTGACGGGTTAATAATGACTGAGAAGTTGTCTTCTGTCTTTAAGCCACTGATGATCTTCCCACTGTACACATCTTGTACCTGGAAAAGAGAGATGGTGACTACCAGGATTTCCACATACCATTCATGTTGGGGTCCAGCTGTGGTCACTGACATGGCACAGCAGGACAGGGCACAGCAGTGGGCAACAGGAGGGTGACCCAAGGGGCAGCTCCCCCTTCACTCTGGAGGCAGAGAGGCATCCCCACCCCCCCAAAATGCAGACCTGGGAAGAGTGGAGTCCAGGTGCCATGGGGCTGCCCTGCTACGCAGCGTGTCAGTATGGCTCACCTCATACACAGCACCCGCAGAGAAGCCGAGCTTGGTCAGGCTGGTGGTGTAGCGGAAGGGCATATCTGTCCTCCGGCTGAAGAACACAAGGGCGCTGGCAGCCTGGGACAATGGGCGCAGAAACACCTCAATGTTGGATTTCTCCTAGGGATGGGGATATGTGGGTGAGGCAGAGTTGCTGGGAGCAGCACTGGCCTGTAACTTCTGACCTTGCCCTGTGGGGCTGCTACGCCAGCAGGCCCCGAGCTCCCACAGCTCTCCAGCTCCTGTTTCTCTTCATCACTTCCCTCTCCCTCTTTATTGTGATGCTCTGTGCTGCTCCTGCCTGTTCTCCCAAATGCATCTGCCTTCCCCCTAACCTTGACAATCCTGCGCCCCTGGATTCCCAGGGGGTCCTGGTTGATGTGGATCATCAGGCGGTTCTGCAGGATCTCCTTGGCGCTCGGGGAGATGGTGCGGAGATCCGTGGACATGAGAAGCGGAGCTGCCATCACTGTCCATAAGGCCATTTGGGAGCGTGACTGCTCGTAGCTGAGGCCAAAATTTCCAATGATGAGCTGGAGAGGGGGGAGTCAAAAGATGGGAGAGGCAGAAAAAGGTTAGAAACTTGTCTGCTTGTCACCCTTGGTGTTGCAGTTGCTGCTCACAGGGAGCACGCAAGGGAAACCTCACACACACTTTTGCTTCCCCTTGAGCAGTCCACCACCACCCGAGATCCCACCCCTGCTAGCAGCACACATTCAAATGCACCTGCTAATACCCTTTGTTTCACCACTATCCCCTCTCAGGCTGTGCAGGGAGGTACAAGGACACTGGGAGAACTTGACAAGTAAAAAGTGGTAAAGGGTTTATTGCAACCACGAGGTTTTCCCACAGCTTAGCCAGGAGCAACACCGGCTTCGTCTGTTTGCAGCAACAGGGCTCCTGCTCCTGGCCCTCTTCCTTTGCCCTGTCCCTACAAGGAGATCCCTGGAGATCCTCATCTACAGACAGGGTGAGAGCACCCACCACCCAGGCTCACCATGTCTGGGTCATTCCAGTGACCAGGGCCAGCTGCTGGCTGCAGCACATCCTGGTTTGTGAAGAACCAGTCCACGATGGAAAGTACACTGTTCCAGGAGTCCTGGATGTCGTCATAATTACGCCACATGTTGCAGATCTCTGCCAGAAGGGTGTAGTTCACCTAAAGAGGAGAATGGGATCAGGCAGGACAGAAAAAGGAACTGGTCAGCAAGGCAGGGGAGAAGGCGCAGCCCGGATTGTTGAGAGCTGCACTGTTCAGAGAGTATGTGACAGGCGGAGGGGTCTGGAGATGGGCAACATCATGTAAGGAGTGAGAACAGAGTCATATCCCAATATGACTGGGTACATCCCAGTATGATAGGATGTCTAGCAAAACAACCACAGAGGCCATGACAAAATATGATCAGCTATCAGCTACAAGAATGAGGGCAGCTCAGGATTGACTCAAAGGGTGAAAGAGGAAATACATGAACACAAACAATTCTCAAGAAACATTACTAGGAGGAACATACTATTTCAAGCACTTTAACCAGACAAGACCATCTCACAAGAATTAACAAGACTGTCAGGACCAACCCCACACCAGCTGAGTAGGGTGGAAACACCCCAAGGCCTTCTTCCCACAAACTCCCATCACCTAGCCAGGCTGGGAACCCCAAGTGTCTCCAGACCCCAGCAAGGAAGGCATGTTCTCTGTGGAGACCTGCAGCAGCATCCTACCAGGGGCAGAGCGATAAGCAGAGGGTAGCACTCAGCTCCTCTAGCTCCAACAAGAGCTCCCCCAGGGCACAGGGGACACAGGAAACAACTCTCACCTTGGGGGGGAGCCCCCCCTGATATGCTGGCCAGCTGCAGGAGTAGACAATGGGGCGGCCTGTGGCGTTCAAGGCCCTTGCCATTGCTGGGTAGCCTTAGGGAGAGAAGATGACCACTGGTGAAGGGGCAGCTGGCAGCAGCCTGTGTCCCAGCCCACACAGCAAGGGGAATTCCAGGCCAGCCCAGCTTTCTGCCTTACACCAACTCCACGGCACCCAAACTCCCTCCCTCCTCTGTGCCCAAGAGCTGCAATAGGAGCTGCAATGGGACAACTGGCTGGCCAAGTGTTTCTATGAGTGGCCAGCTGCTCCAACCAAACAAACAAGTGGAGAAATGCCAGACAGGTGATAAGCTCTTACCCTTTGCTTGCTCCTCTCCTGATGAGTAGCACCCATCCAGCTTCAGCAGGTCCACACCCCACTCTGCAAACGTCTGGGCATCCTGCTTCACGTGGTCCAGCGTAGTGCCCGGGTAGCCCCCACAGGTGAAGGTGCCCAGATCGCCATAAATGCCCAGCTTCAAGCCCTTGGCATGGACCTGTGAGGACAAGAGAGTTGCAAGGAGCTGACAAGGGGATCCAAGGTGCCTTCCAGGTACCAGGGTCCTCCATTCCCTTCCAGCTCTCCCACCATGGTGGTATGGGGACACAGAGCTCCCAACAGTCCCCAGCAGGCACTCACATAGTCAGCTAGAGCCTTAATTCCACTGGGAAACCTTTCAGGGTCAGGAACCAGTCGTCCTGCCGCGTCTCGCTTCTTGGCCGACCAGCAGTCATCAATGCTGAGGTACTTGTATCCCAGCTCCCTCCAGCCATCCTCTGCCAGCCGGTCTGCCATCTCGAAGAAGAGTTTCTCACTGCAGATTATGGGGATGGGGTTGTGGCAGGCTGAAACCCTGCGACCTCCATGTCCCGCCAGTTGAGGTGGGTAGCAGAATTTTGGAGTTCAGTGGGGGCTCTGGAGGGTCAGTCACCACGGGGCTGGCCTAGGTTACAGGAAGGTCTCCAGAGCTCCCGTTTAAACCGCTTCTGTGTCCTGATCCCCCCAGGGGGAAGCGTTTGCCTGGCCCCCGCAAAGCCCGGCCGCATCCTTCAGCCCCGGGGGCTCTCCAGCACAGCACCCCGGGGACCCAAACGGGGCCTGATGTCCCACCCGACAGCTCCCCGCCCCGCTGACCTGATGCAGTTGCGGGGATCCGTCCGGCAGTCCACGTTGCAGCGGAACCTCTCCCAGGACA